TGGAGAGCTATTCCATGCTGATGAATAGGAAAATGCTTATTTTCCTCAGTTTGATCTAGTGATTCATTCAGTGAAATCTCTGTAAAATCCCAATAGCATGTTATAGGAATTGACAAATTGGTTTTAAAGTTTATATAGAAATCCCAAGAGCCAAGAAAGAGTAAAGCAATTTTGGAGAAAAAAAAAGTTGGAAGACTTTTACCATCTGACTGTGACATTTACCCAGGAGCCATAGTAACCAGGATATTGTATTATTACATAAAAGTAAGCTAATAGATTGATAGATACAGAATAAATGATCCCAAAATAGCTAATAGATCAATAGATACAGAACAAATAATCCAGAAATGGCTTTACATATACATAGCCAATTGATTTTTTTTAAACCAAAGATGCCACGGTCATGCAATGAGGGAAGAGCACACATCTCAAATGATGCTAGGACAACCATGTATCTATAGGGAGAAATATCTTGACTTTTATCTCTCATCACAAGCAAAAATTACCGGAAATGGTTCATAGGCCTAAACATAAAAACTATAACTGTTACACTTTCTAAAGAAAAAGAATGTTTGTGACCAAAAGTCTTAGTCTAGACACAAAAGGAAAAGATAAGTTAAACTTCAAAACTTCTGCTATTAAGAAAACGAAAATGAAAGTCAGGCATAGTGGTGCACGCCTGTACTCCCAGCACTCAAGAGGCTGTATTAAGAGTTCGAGACCAGCCTGGGCTACAAAGTAAGCTCAAGGCCAGCCAGCCTGAACTGCATAATGAGACCCTGTCTCAAAAAGACAAAGAAAAAAAGAAAACAAAATGAAAATGAAAGCATGGATCAGGAGAAAATATGTGCGTACATGTATCTGACAGAGAACTTGTATTAAGAACAACACGGTTTTGTCAGACACATCACAAACGACGGGAATGGCTAAGGGCATCAAAAGGTGCTCAACAGAGATGATGGCGACTGAAAATGAGTGACATCTCCATGCCTACCAGAATGTCTTAAAAGACACTGATAACACCGGATGTCAAGGAAATGTCCAGAAGTTCCGTACATTGCTTGTGGGGAACGTAAAACAGTGCAACCACTTAAGAAAAACTATTTGTTTCTTAGGAAGTTAAATACGTATCTATGACTATCCAAAAATTCTACTGCTAAAAGTTCCCTGATAGAAGCAGAAATACATGGCCACAAAAAATAGTTATGCCCAAATGTGCATACGTTTTATTCGTGATAGCCTCAAAGCGGAAGCAATCTGAACGTTGATCAATGGGTAAATGGATAAATTGTGACATTTTCATGCAATAGGATACTCTTCAGCATTAACACTGAATGCACTACTAATCTACATGGCAACATACATGAGTACTATATGCTGAATTAACAAAGCTGACACAGAAGATTTTTATGACTCCATCTGCTCAGAGTGAGACCATCCTGGGCTACAAAGTGAGTTCAAGGCCAGCCTGAACTGCATAGGGAGACCCTGACTCAAAAAGACAAAAACAAAAAAACAAAAACTGATAGAATTAATTCACTGGGGAATGTGGGGCAAGAATTAGCCAAAAATGAGTAAGAATTTCCAGGACTGATAGAAATGATCTGTACCTGAATTATTTGTGTACAAGTTTTGAATCTTAAGTGGTGCAGATCTCTGCATTCTACTACGTATGAATTAGTTCATTAGTTTTTCTGTTAAAGAAGCTACTATCACCACATGTATATCCAGCTTCAAAGATACTTGTGCCCCTACTGGGATCACACCAACCTAGTGAGTTTCAGTTGAAGCCAGGACTTTCTAATACAGTATCTGAAAATGTGTCTCAACCCCCTCCAACCCACTTGCATTCTGATCTTTGATAAAAGGTGCCAAAAACACCCTGGAGGAAAGACAGCCACTTTAATACAGGGTGCTGGGAAAACTAGCTCCCCACATGCAGAAGACTGAATCTAGACCTATATCTCTTACCACGTACTACAGACACTAAAGTCAACATGGATCAAAGATCTGAATGTTAAAACAGAAGCGCTTAATCTGCTGGAAGATATAACTGGTAAAACTCTCAGATACCTAGGCATAGGCAAAGACTTTCTGAACAGAAGGCCAGGTACGCAAGAAATAACACCAACAATCAAGAGACGGAATCGTAGCAAGTTCAAAAGCTTTCTACACAACAGAGGAAACAACCAACAGAGTGAAAAGATAACCTGGGGAGTGGGTGGTGGGGGGTGTTGCCAGCTATCGTGTGTTAGAGAACTAATATTTAGACTACAAAAAAAATTCAGAAATATTAGACTTCCCAAAATAAAAAAGCCAATCAAAAAATGGTCTAGTGAAATGAATACACACTTTTCAGAAGAAGAAATGCAAATGGCCAATCAATACATGGAAGAAATGTTCAACCTCTCTGGCCATTAGAGAAATGCAAATAAATGCAATAAGCCCAAAATACTTTACTGGTAAAAATCAAAATAAAAGATAGTAGGAAAAAGGGAGATGAGGGTTTTTTTGTTTTGTTTTGTTTTGTTTTTGTTTTTGTTTTTTTTGCAAAAGGGAAAGATACCAAAAGGTAGAGGGAGAGGAGAGGAATGGAATGAATCAAGAATAAAATGTAGGGACTGGGATTTAGCTCAGCAGCATAAGCACCTGCCTTGCAAGTAGGCAGTCGTGAGTTCGATTTCTGGTACCAATAAAAACAAAAAAGACAAAAAAAAATGTATTATTTACATGCACCAATCCCTACAAGAAACATAATCATATACTGCAAACACGTACTAATAATTTCCTTTTTTGTCTTTTTGAGTCAGGGTCTCACTATGCAGTTCAGACTGGCCTTGAGCTCACTTTGTAGCCCAGGTTGGTCTCAAACTCACAACGATCCTCCTGCCTCAGCCTCCCGAGTGCTGATTATAGGTGTGTGCCACCATGCCTGGCTACTAATAAAGTTTTAAAAATAAATGAAATGGTCATTTTTATTCCCACTTAGAGGAATGCTATCCTCTAAACTTTGGTTGAACAGAAGCCAGACACAGGCCGTCCCTGCCGTGGAAGACCTGGCTGCTTCTATCCAGGGCCGATGAGACCATGAGCTGTCATTGCAGAGGTCCCCAGAGGGTGTCTAGGCTTCCTGAGCCCCACAGGACCACAACTGGTATCGAGGAACTTTGGTATAAAACAAAACGCAGATATGAAGAACCAGAATGCCTTGGTATATTTCTGTTTAATTTTTTAAGAAGCTAACCAAAAAAAATCATCATTGGAAAGTAGAAGAAGAAAGGCTGGACCCAGGGAAGAAGAGTTTAGTCACAAATCCAAGTGGCTCATCAGAGCCTTGAGGTGGTGCTGAAAGCCTTTTTTATCGTTTAATGGTAGTGAACCTTTTAGAGACCAAGTGCCCAAACTGGGACCCTAAACCCACTTAGTTTATGGCAGAGTGTCAGCACTGCAATTAAACCTCATCCCTAAGGTTTCAGTTTAGAAAACACTCATACATTAACATCTTTTGTCTTAAAAAAAAAAACAGAGTTTTCTGTGATACAGCTTTTTACTGAAAGGTAAAGCATTTGGAGTGCTTTTGCACAGTTCATGTGACCTTTGCTGTCATATGCATACGAGTAGTTTGTCAAACTGTGGCTCCTTAGTTTGAGACCAACACATGCAGCACTCGGGGCATCTGTGAGTCTGTTTCTTGTATCAGATTCAATATAATTCAAAGCTGAATCAACTGCTCACAGGTGTAAGATCAAACAGTAAGAAAAGCAATCCCAAGTACATGCACTGACTTAAAATTATTTGGCAGAGAATTCCACATTTTAAGGATTTTTCAGAACTGCCAAATGTTCTCCCCTTTCTCTTCCCATCACACTCTTTCCCTTTCTGTCTTCAAGTGTTGCATGCAGGTCAGAGAATTTATTTTTCCCAATGCTACATTTGTGGGGAGAGGGTGTCTTTTTGAGACACGGTCTCCTTGTGCATTGAACTCCCTTTGTAATCCAGGCTGGTCTCAAACTTGGAAGGATCCTCCTGCCTCAGCCTCCTGAGTGCTGGAATTACAGCTGTGCGCCACCACACCTGACCAGATAGCGCTTCCCCGGATTCCAACAGCTCCATTTCCAGATTTTTAAAATCTAACCGGTGTAGGCAGGAAAGATCAAGTTCAAATTTGGCTTTTTCTAGAGAAGAAAACACAAGGTTGTCTCCATCATATGGACCACATGTGCCCCCTTTGGCACGGGTGCCCCTTTGGTGGGTGCCATAGGTTCACCACCCCTTGCTTATAAAATAGTGGTAGTCACGGTTTTGCTGGGTGCAGAGCCCCCTGCTCAGACATGAAAGGGCTTTGTGGAAAAACTCGCAAGAGGGGAGCATGAATTTAACAGCTGTAATCACCAGAGATGAAAATGGGAGATGCCAGATGTTAGGGACTGGAAGTTAATGTCTCTCTAAAATTTGGACTTGAAACCCTCATCCCTCAAGGTGATGACAGCAGAATGCGACCCTTGGAGCGGCGCTTCAGTGAGACTCCTTGTACCTCCTATCGTGTGAAGTGACCATGAAGAGACAGTTCCTCACCAGGCACCCAGCTACCGGTGGACTGACCTCAATCTCCAGCCTCCAGAATTATGAACGATGAAATACTACCTTCCAGTGTATTGTTCTAGCAGCCTGGAGAGCCTAAGGCACAAAGCTTCTCTCCAAAGATTTGTGTTAAAAGCTTCTCAATAAAGCAAGACTGGAAAAATCATCTTGTATTTTGGAGCAGGAAAACCCATAGCTGCTACCCAAACCTGCCCCCTCAGCACCCGTGGGAAAGGTAGACGTGCTCTGGTGAGGTCCCCGAGATGCTGCACCCCACACTTGGAAAGTGCTCCGTCAGGCAGGGGCCATTTCTTTCCTCCCTGATAGATGCTCACCATGGACCTGTTTCTAAAATTTAAAAGGCATGAGAAATCATCCCACTCCCAAAGGTGATGCTAAAGAATGCAAAACATGAGAAGCCCGAAATGTAAGAGAATATATAATTTATTAGACATTGAATTAAAAAAATAAAACCATTTAAAAGAAGCCCAGAGAGCTCTCTTGATCCCTACAGGCACCTCTGTACTCTCAACCCCAAACCCCAATAAAAGCAGTGTTTTATAGACATCACAGCTAGCGGAGGTTAAAGGATGTGAAGCCTCTAAAGATGACAGGGTTGATGACTGGGTCAGCTGGCACTGTTCCTAGCGGGATCCACTTTTTCAGTCGAAGTACTCATTTGGTCCCAAGCCCTGCGGGGCACAGTCGGATCCCCAGGCTCTGCCTCTATGGCATCTTTCAGCATCTTTTCTATCCAGTGTTGTTTCTGCTCCTCTATCGCCTTCCCAAACCTGTGCATGGCTGTCGGGTCCAAATGGGGACAAAGAGAAAGAAAGATGTAACGAGTTTGCAAATGGGGCCAGACACACTCAGGTCATCACAGACCCCCGGAGCCTCTTGCTCAGGAATGCCAACTTCAGCCAACCCTGCTTTGGGATAAGATTCCCAGATCAACTTGTCACGTCCCCGAACTTTTGAGCTTCGTATCACCAACCTACCGGGCATCTCAGTGCCCCCTATCGAATGTCGTACCTGATTGTACCTGTATACTTGTTGCTTCTTAATTCTTTAGTGTTTGCTTCCTGAACCTTCACGAGAATGAATTCCTGCTGCATTCCCATTAAATACAACACTGGCACATCATAGAATGCAATAAGTACTTTAAAAGTCATGTTCTCCAAAACTTCCAGAGGATAGGAAGTCCATGGTCATGTGGCCACCTCGCCTCCTAGAGGGCCCGTTCCAGGAGGGCAACGTCCCACTCCTTTCTGCCCTCTCCTGGCTCCAGTGCCTCACTCAGTGACAAGCACAAAACAGATACCCAGGAGATAAAATGAATGGGTAGGTGCCTGAGGTACAAGTCAAAAAGGAGCATAACTAAAAACAGAAACACATGGTTCAGAAGGGCTGAAGCTCCAAGTAGTTAAGAGCAAATTTTTAAAAAATAGGAAAACTTAGAGGTTGAGTTACAGAGGAGTTGATGGGGTACCTTTAAAGGATGCTAGGACCGGATGGTCAGAACCACTTACCCTCTTTTAGTTGGGGGGGATTTTCTGCAAAAGTGAGTCGAAACCACCCAGGTTTCTTAAACATATAGGATCTGCCACGGCATAGGATCAGCTTGTGGTTTCTGAAGCGGCGGTGGAGAAGCAGTTCTTCTTTAAATGTACAGGGTTCTAGTAACTAGGGAAGGCAGAGGAACTGAGCCCAAGCCGCCCCTGACAGGTCAGCCCAAGAACATTTGACCTCATCCCTAGAGCTCACCTTTTTCAAATTTATCCACATATAAAGGCCAGAGCAGCGATTGTGAAAGATGATCTTGAAGTTATACTGCTGTTCCAACTGACGCAGCTGCTCGGTGACATACGCGTGAGCGTCCCAGAGCCGGGAGCGGTTGGTGGGCAGGTACACTTTGTTAATCCAGTCTAGACAGGTGAAGCAGAGAATGTTCATAGATCTTGGAACAGACTTCCCGGTCTTCCTCCCTGAACCTCATGCCAGCTCCTATCCAAGACTGAGTCTGTCTGGGATGGAACCTATGGCATCCACAGCCAACACACCCACAGGGACTGTTCCCTGCAAGGTTACACCCGTCAGTCAAAGAGGGTGCTCCACAGCAGAGATGGATGGTGCTATTTCCTATTGTCAACTGTGTAGGTTAGCTGGTACTCAGGTCTCTTATATACCTGCTCTTTGAATCTCAAAAAATCTTGGCAGAATCTAGCTGGAGTTGGGGTAATTATAGCCCAGTAATTCTCAGCACTGGCAACCTAGAAGAATCACTCGGGGAACTTGTAGAAATCATGATGTCCGAATCATTCCTCTAGATCTAAATGAGAAACTTTGGGGATGGAGACCATGATCAGATTTACGCTCCTAGTAATTCCCAGGTATGTCCAAGGTTGAGACCCTGTGTCCAAAGGGGCTGGGATCCAATATTATTGGATAAATATTAAAAAGGCTGGCATCCTGTAGAACTTGCAGAATTTGATGCATCCAGTTGGATTTCCCTCATCCACCTCCTTTCCTACCCAGTACTGAAAGCAAATTTTCTCTACCTGCTAATCTAATGATATCAGTTTGTCTCATTATATACCAGCTCTTAATTTAAGCCTTCCAGCCTGACATCTATTTTATTACAGAAATTCAAAAAATGGAGCATTTTCTGAACTTGTGCCATGGCACTAAAGAGAAACCTCTCGGGCCACTATTCAGTTGAGGTCTAAGGGGAAATGTCCATCTAAGTGCCACAGGTCTCACCATACCATCTGGCCCAAGGGGCAGTTCTTATGTGGCCACCTTGGAAAAGGAGATCAGGTTGTGTAAAAACAGTCACATGTTTCTTTGTAATCTCTGCCTGCAGCAACTAGAACCCTGGAAAGGGAAATAGATATCCCCATAAAGATTTATTGCTGAGACTCTTCCCTTGGGGACTTAGAATATAACTCCTCTCCTTTCCAGGCAGAGCGAAAGCTACTGAACATGAAGAATGGAAGCCCATCCTGTTTTGGATGGTACCCCCACCTGAGATGCACCCCTCCTTTTAAAACTCAGCATCCCGCCATGGTCAAGCCTGAGAGTGACAAGGTGTCTCAGCACATTGAGGGCACATCAGGGACCCAAGGACATCCAGCCATGATGCCACTTTGGGGTACAGTTAGTACCTCTATCCTGGAGCAGGCGACACAGCTTGTACTGGGTGATGCCAGAGACACTATGGAGGTAGCCAAAGGGGCTCATAGCAGAGACTACATCTTCGTTTTGAGTGTACAGAACACCAAAGCACAAGCCTGAGATGCCAAAATCCTGGAGGAAGAGAAGGAGGAGAAACATCCGACTTGTTTGCCTTCTGACTTCCTGGCTCTGCTTCCCTACAGACCCAAGGCCCAGCAGCAGGGGCTTACCTTAGTGGGGCTCCAGATCACATGGGTCTTGTTGGGGTCAGGCAAACTGGAAAAATGTAAATAAAAAAAATCAAAATTACCAACTATTTGAAGGATGGAAATCTGAGATCTGACAGACAGGGGAAGGTAGACCAGAAGCCTTTCCAAGACAACAGGGCCTACGTTCAAGAACCGCTTCCAAAAGGTCTTCCTGAAGTAGTGGATGGAACAGCTCCCAAGGGCCTACAAAGTGAAATTCAGGGCTTCTGACTGACTTGGGGCTGTCCTGCACCAAAGTCACGTTCTTGGCAGCCAGACCCTCCAATGTGAGCCGCCCACCATTTCTAGAATGTGCTTGCATAGGTCCGACCACTCCGTCCTTGGTGAAGCTGCTTCTTCTACCAGGCACACCCTTCCCTGGCTTTGTTGGAATCTTAGCCCTGGAGCCAAATATTACTCTTCAGAAAGTTCTGCACAGAGGACGGTGGTATGTGCCTGTCATCCCAGCCTCCCCGGAGGCTGAGGAGAAATGCAAGTTCAAGGCCAACCTGGGTAATTTAGTCTCAAGGATTTTTAAAGAATTTTTTTAAAGGCCTGGAGATACAGCTCAACAGTAAACATCCCTACTTTAAACCTCTGGTGCTGCAAAAAAAAACAAAACCAAGACCTACAGAGCAATGAGACAGAAAGATGGCTCTGTCCTGTTCTGTTCTTTCCTGTGTTCTACTTACCAAAAGCACCTGTTGCGGGACTTTGTCTAGGCCTTTGACATGGTACTTGCTCCCTGGCCCACAAGTTAGCTTACATGCAGGGTGGCATTCAGACTGAAAGAGTCTTGGCTCATCTTTGCAATCCCTGCTGGCTCTGACCCATCTCTTCCTAGCCCATAACCAGTTCGTTCGCAGGCCCAGGTACTCTGCCTGCAAAGCACTCTCAATCCCAGCTAAAACAAACTCACCTTTCCAAGCTCAGAACGCTGTGGAACCTGGCGGACTCATCAAACACGGACAGCATGTAAATTTCATCTACGACCACATGTAGCTCATGTCTGTAGTTGGGAGAACAAGATCTAGTTTCCCTCTTCTGTTTTAACTCATTTTCAGTCCTGTTCTTCCCTAGATACACAGCAGACTTTCCTGTAGCCCAGCAGCCCACTGGCCCTTCCAAGGGGTAGAGTAAAAAGAGACCATGTATCAGAAGGAATCTTGCACCCAGGCTGGTCATATGGAGATGCAGAGGAAGGACCCCAAAGACACACCGGAGCACATTACTACACGTTCAGCCACCAGGCAGAGACAGAGGGAAGAGGCACATTTTCCTAGAGCCTGTTCATCCCACCCGGCATGCACCAAGCAGGCTCCACAGTACACACATCTCACCTAGTCTCCTCACCCTTTCACCCACCTCTCAGAAAAAAAGGGAAACAACACTGTGAGGTATAAAACCAACCGCCTTAACCAGCAGGTATGAGAGCTGGTATTTGAACTCAGCTCTGTTGAAATCTTCCCCGCAGTCCCTATACTCTGCCATTAATCGGTCTGGATTCATCCTAAAGTTTGAATAAGTCTTCCTTCTAGAGAGCAGAAGATGATCTGCCCTGCTAGGGCTAGTTTAGGGCTCTGGAACACATCTTCCTCCCAGAAGGGCGGAGGGTTTGTCTTCTCTGGCTCCTCAGCCCAAGTAGCTTGGGAGGATGATGCTGGGGAGAGTGCTTTTGATGTAGAAGTGGAAAAATAGCAAAGCTACATGGCTGCTTCGCCGATGCCTGTACAAGGGAAGAGGCTGGCGAAGAGCAGGAAGTGGTACACACCGGGCTGCTGCATTTTACTTCCCGTTGTATCCACAAAGCAAAGAGTGCGGGAAGAATACTTAGGGTAAAATCACCGCTGCTTCCGATCTTCTGACTACAAGTGAAGGCCGCCCCTTTTGGGAATGCCAGCCCGTCTTAAGGGATAGAATTGTACCTTTTGGCAAATTCCAGGTATTCTTTCAGTAATTCCTTCGGGTAGATGTCACCCGTAGGCTTCTCAGGGTTGGTGAGCAAGAGGCCTTTGACCTTTTTTCTCTAAGAAGAACCCAAACACAAGAGTGAACGTGAGTCCTTTACACCCACTCCAAGTTCAGCCAAGGATCCTTTATAGGTCAAATCCCAATACAGGATGCAGAATGAGGCCAAAGCCAGCCAATGCCGGACGGCCTGATGGGAGGGGCAGGAGGCACTCTGGAGGCTGCCCCCCAGGAGCTATTCACCCCAAGGTAGGGTGAGCAGTTCCACCAAAGTCTCAGTACCCAACCCCTTCCAGAGCCCCCTGAAATCCGGTTCCTGCCTTACCCTAGTCCTAGCTTCATGCAGAGCTTGTTCTAGTTTGCGCACGTTGAGCTCCAAAGGCTGGGTGTCTGCATTGATGAACTGTAAGACAGTCTGTTGCGAACCATCCATGGGAAAAGGTTCCAAGCCCCAATTCCTCATTCCCACAAACCATAGGCAACTTCTGGCCTTCATACCAGGGTGTTAGACCCGTGTGGCTTCTTCACCCCAATTTCTCCACCCTTTTCCCATCGCCACATATCCAGGGAGAGAGTGAGGCCCCCTGGGCCTCTTCATGCCCACTAGAACAGTCCATTTCTTTGGTGGGAGGCACAGGGAAGGGACCCCTTCTGACCTGTTTCTCCAGGTAGACTGGAATCAGCTCAATATATGCAAAAAACTTGGAGCCAAACATGAAGCCATAATGGAAGGGAACAGGGACCAGGAAGCAGTCTGGAATCACAAGAAGATGAAGCCGCCAGTCTGTGTTCTTTCAGAACCTGCCAACCTTCTCACTGCCAGGCTAGCTGCAAGCTCACAACAGGAGAGGCCGCTTGAGCAGCCTCTTCTCTGGGGATTGATGTTCCTGAGCTCAGGCTCCATAAAAATTGTCTACTCTCGCAGCCATTATTTGGGCAATGAAGCCAGTTTCCTCTTATGGAGTATATTGAGAAAGAAGAGGCAGACTGTTACTCTGAATGGCTCAGAATCCAGGGTCCCAGGCAAGCCAGGCAGAGTGTTGGTCACTGGGAAACCTGACCTGCTCTGCTCCAGGCCAAACACTAGAGGTCAAGGTTGGTGCACAAGAGGGCGCCTGTCATTTAGACTTGGTGACCTCATTTTCTGTGCTTCCGACCTGCCCCTCCCCAGTGAAGGGCTAAGCAAGAACCTACTCTTCCCATCTTGGCCACTCTTTCCATCTTGGCCACTTCCTTCCATACAACCAGAGCTCACTGAGATCTGAGACTCTTGCTTGGGCATTGTTAAGGAGAACGAGAATGAATCTTTCAGTCTTATCTGGCCCAGAACTAATTAGCCTTTTGGGGCTTTGGGATATGGTATGAAATCTGTATAGTCTAAACAGGTTGTCCTGGCTATTCATGCTGCAGTCTGGCCCAAGCACCCAGCTAGTAACAGAGTGATTTTGCTTCCTCTCATCACCGCTTCAGATTGGTCATGCATGTCTCTTCCATGTTAAGGGAGGAATCCCAGCCCCTGGTCAGCAATAGGAAGTCCTCATCAGCGGAGAAGCGCCAGTGCTATGGGGCAACCCCCAAGTGCAGACGCTTTCCCCACGGCCCAGGGCCCAGGTTCTTGCTTACCCCCTGGGTCACACAGCACCGTGGCCAGTGCAGAGAAGACAGCACAGCAGCCATTGAGAATCACCACCTGAAGACATGCACAAGAGGTGGACGTCAAAAGCCAGCACCCACGCAAGACAGTGTGGCTGCACTGTCTCTCCCCCCCCTGGAAAGACAGGCACCAGGAACCTCCTCAGCTAGATGCCATTGGCCTTAACTCTGCCTTGGTCCTGAAGGTCTCCCCTCGTCCTCCCCACCTTCCCTGGACAATGCAGAGGGTGCCCAGGTACACAGCTCTCCACCAGACGGACTCACATTTTTCACAGACAGGCAGTGAGGGGCTCTGCAGTAGCAGGTCAGGAACTGGGCCACAGCTGCCTGCAGGCTGTGGACAAACCCAGGGTTATGGCTCCCAGTTCGCCTTCTTCACTGAGAGTTTACACTTCAGCCTTTTTCAAAGGGGCCAGTATCCACCCTCAAAGGGATGCTGCTAACCACCCCAACTTTTCATATTGCTATAAAACAAAGATGTCAACTCTTTAGGTCTGAGAGTTGGGACAAAAAAGAAACCAAGCTCTTGATTGTAGGATGTTGCTCTTTCTACCAGACCAGCCAGGCTGCCCCCTGAGGTTTTGCTCTCCTTTCCTAGTGGTTATTACCCAAAAGAACAAGACAGCATCCAACAAGAATATGATGCATGGAATCCACCCCTTGCTGTGGACCAGGAGAGGCTAGATCTGGATCACTTACAAGGGATGTCCTGTCGAGTTGGGATACTGCAGAATGACATCCTCGATGTAATTCATGTCACTCTGACACAACTGTTGACAAACAGAGCATGAGAAGAACCTGACCAGGAAGGGCTGCCCTATTCCCAGTGTGAACATGCGCCCTGCACTCACGTGGCCACCCAGCAGGGGAATGGTACCCTCGCTGCCTTTTCCCTGGTGACTGGAGGCCCCCGTCCTGTCCCCGACTACCCCACAGATACCTCACTGATGTATTCACCAACCTGCCCACCCCGATGCTCCCTTACAGTCCACACACTGGGTTCCTACTAGAGAACCCCTCTGGACACAGTCAGGGAGGACAGGAGGTGACCTGAGCTACCCTAGGAGCTATTTTTCCACTTCCTTTCCCAAACTCCTACATTCTACTCATATTTGGTGCATGCAGATGAATATTCTGGGGGGACTGGTCCCCAAAGAGTAGGTCCCAGCGCAGCACAGAACGTGACTTACCCTTTCGGTTATCAGATCAGTGCACAGCCTGTTCTCACTGATGCTCAGGTTAAGGAAGCCCTGGAGGGGAAGGAATTCGAGACTGGTCTCTTACACACCCCGTAGGGGTCCCTGCAGAGATACAGGTGAGTGTGCACCTCATTAGTTGAGATCTCACTACCCCATGAGGTGACTCAATCCATGTTTCCAAGAATCCCAAATCTTAAAGCTTGCAAACTTTAGAGCCACATGGATAACTAATTAACAGCTGAATATGCTCCACTTCTGGTATCCACCAGGTGCTAGACTAAATGCTTTATGCGTATTAACTCCTGGGAACAGGCTCTATATAAAGCCTTATTAACGAGTCAGAACTTATAACCTGCCAGCCACGTGACTGTGGGTGATAGGCAGAGCTCCACATGTCTGACCCACAGCCACCACGGGCCCTCCCTGGTATCCACCTCTGCTGTTGTACACAAAGGACCCCCAAGCTTCTGGAGGAGATACTGCCCCTAGGAGTACTGTGGGAGTACTTGACCCAGCCCTGGGAAAGCAGATGGACACTGGCCACTTCAACGGCAACAGAGGAGAAGCTGATACTGTCCTCCCCAGTCTGGCTGGAGCGCTGCTATGACCCTCCTTTGCTGGAAATCTTTGGTCAGCCCCCCACCACCTGCAGGTTGTGTCTTAACACCTCCTGTCAGTCCACTTCTGGCTGCCTTTTATCACCATAGGACCCTTCTTTCCCAACCACTCCGAGTCCTTCTGTACTTGCAGCTTCCAGGATTGCTGCACCTGCTTCCTGGGTGACCACCTCCCACCCCCATTCCCCACTGGCTGGCTGGTTCAGCATTTTAGACACCTTCCTGGACCACCGGAAGTGGCCACTCCTCTAGTGGCTCTTAGAAACAAAACTCATGTTTGTTTCTCAAACAGCCAACTACATTCATCACTAAACTTTGCTCCATAATGGAAGTTCACTCCCACTCCAGCCACAGTTCCGGTCTCCTAGCACTTGAGAGTGGAAACTTAAAGAAATATGGTGGGGCGGCACTAGGGACCCAGACCCAAGTTTGCCTTCTTTCTGGGGATATGCATCTTAATTCCGTGACTGTATCCCTACTAAGTAAGACAACAGTGCCCATGATAAGGCCATGAAAAGTACTTGGCACAACTCAAAACATCCCAGGGTCCGGGTGGGCTCTCAAGGCTGTGCCTCAATACTCACCGAGGTGTTCAAGACTTTGTGGTATTTATCTCTGTGGTAGATCTCATAGCTCTTGAACTTGCTCTTGTAAAGCGTAGAGATGTGAACCCCACGTCGGGACAGGCTATTGCTAAGTACTGAAGCTTTAGGGGGAGAGGTAAGAGGGGACAGAGGAGAAAATAAGAACGAATGCACCCAAATGATGGAGATCCTCCCTGGCCCTTAGGGTCCAGGTATGGCCAGGGACAGAAGCAGAGAGTCACTGGCTTGTCACTGGCTCCTCTCACATCAATGCCTTGGTTTTAGGCACAGAGAGGCTCAGGAAGTTACTGACTCATTCAAGAGCAAGGCCTAAGGGGCCTGACCCCAGACACCACTGCCCTCTCCTCAAGTGGCAGTGGAGCACATTCTGAGGAAGGGCATTAGGGCTCATGGTGAGAAATGGAGGAACTGAACAGAGAGCCTCTGTGTTCTGTACTCTAGGCTCCAGCCAGAGCACACTGTCAAATTCCACGTGAGAAAGAAAGGAAAGAAAAAAAAGGATTCTGCTATTAAATAGCAGCCCTGAATAAATCATTCTGCTAAACTAGAGGCCTGTAAACTATTGCCAGACTGTCCAATGTGGCCTGTCACATGCATTTATAAATAAAGTTGTATTGTTCCACAGCCATGTTTATGCATTGATTATGGCTACCTTTGCAAATGGCAGAGTTGAATAGTTGTGACAGAGACCTTACAGCCCTCCGAGCTTCAACTATTTACTCTCTGGTCTTCTACAGAAAAAGTTTGCCAACCTCTCATCTAGAACAGTATCCTTTACTTTGTCTTTTCCCCCTGGGGCAGCCATGTCAGGTACACCTTCCGTCCATTTCCCCACCTCACATGGCTTCCCGCAAATGGCTCCACCCTACTATCTCTCACAGCTGCCTTAAGCACTCACCACCAGTGACCGCAACCTCAACTTGAAGTCAGTCAGGATCCCCTGGGAAGACTCATTAGGCCTCAGATGGGGAAGCTAAACCCCTGGAGTTTGGTTCTGCTGACTAGTAAAACCTGGAAACCTTCATTTCTAGCCTCTGCTCAGAGAACTTTGACTATTCAGATTCATATTGTTGAGGGAAACTTCCCAGAATACCAGATAAGACCATAAAATCTCTTCTTAAAACATCAAAATGTCAACAAAATTAGGTAGCAAGAGCCTAGGAGGTACAGCTGCTTCTCGTTTTAAAGAAAACCCAACACCACCAGATAACAAACCCTTCTAAAAGAAGTCTAGAGTTATGCCTTTTCTATTAAAAGTTACAATTCCAATTCTTTTTCTATTATCTAACATCCCTCCTACATGCATAAAATTTTGTTGCTTATTTTACGGATTTATGGCTCCAGCAACTCAAGCGTGAGGTGTCCTCCAGCAACCTGCCTTTTTCCTCCAAGATAGGGACAAGGTCCCCAGCATTGCCCCATTAGCCACTGTCCTGCACACAGGTGAGTAACGCTGCCAGTGAGTAGGAGAGGCCCACCACAGGGATGCCTCCTCATCAGTGAGGAGATGGCCCAGGGATGAAGACGCTGACCACAGAGACAGAGCAGTGGCCAGTGAAGCCGTGGGATGCTGCTGTACCCAGCCTTGACTGAGGGTCTCAACCTTTCATCAACAATCAAAAACCTTCACTCTGCTACCGGGAACACACTGTGGAGAAAGAAACTGAGCTCACAGGAGTGATTGAGCTAACCTTCGAAATGGCCCTGGGAACCGTTAGCTTCACTTTATAGAAACCACAGGCTCAGAGGAGATGAACTGCACAAGACCCCACAGGTACCTCTGTCTGCAGAGGGGCTCTAAGCTCAGATCTTCCAACCCTCAACACCACTGTCTTTGAATTATGCCCCTTGGAGAGCTCTTCCTGGAAAGGTCCATGTGTCCTCAAAGCTTGGCTTTCTCCCGGGACCCATGAGTTCCCTAGATTTCTTGGTGTCCAAACACCCCAGGGGGATGTCAGGAGCCCCAGGGAGTGCTTGGCCCTCACTTACGCTGGTCGCTGTCTGCACTCATCTTTGCTCCAGCCTAGAACCCTTGCACTGGCTGAAATGGTCCTGGGTGGCCAGGGGCTTGCAGACCTGCCCTCCTGCTCTCGCCAAGACTGAATATTATGCCTTGGTCTGCGAACTCTGCTGTTAAATACAAGATGGTTCCCAGGGTATAATAAGTCCCACCTTTCCCCTTCTGGGGAGAGTCTGCTCAGGAGCTCCCTATTGCCTCAAATCGGCTCTCTGCATCTTTTCAGAGAGATGGTTTAGTGAGGACCACATCCTGGAGGTGAGGTTCCCAGCCTTGAAGGGGATTAGCATCACCTGGAACCCAGGATCTTTGCATGTGCTCAACGACCCCCAGGTGGCCCTACTTCTTCCCAACTGCAGAGAATTACGGGGGCAAGGGAACCCCAGTAAAAGCACACGAGCTTCTCATTTCTGCCTGTTTCCAGGGAGGCCAGGATCTGAGAGCAGGTTCGAGTGGGTTAACCCGAGCTGGGAAGGGCATCTTGACAAGAAAGCCATGCTGTGATATCCCAGCGCCCTCAAAGTGAGGAGAAGAGAATCCCTGATGGCAAGAGGAGCTTTCTGATGGAAACGTCTCCTGGCCTCTGTCCTTTGCATAGGATGCTTCCTTGTTTCTCCGCCTTAGAAGTGACACCTTCTAATTTGATACCTCCAGGGACACCGCGGTTACAGATATACATGATTGGGGGGCACAGAGGAAGACTGGGAGGACACTTCGGCTCCTCCTATGTGCACGGGATGGAAACCAAGACTGTGATTTAAGCTGGTCCTGAACTTGCTATGTAGCCAGGGTGACCTTGCACTCCAGGGGCGTGTCCTGCCTCAGCGTCCAGAGTACTTGGATGACAGATGTGCACCACCACGCATGGCTCCTGGAAGTCTTTCGGGATAACTCATCGCAGCTTGTTCTCTGCAAAGCTCTTGCCTCTCACCCCAGCTCCCCACAGCCCACCTCACAGAACCTCCCCTCCTTCAGGCCTTTGTACCTTCTTTTTCCTCCCCCAGCAGGCCCTTTCCTGGCCTTGTGGACTCCCGCTCTCCTTCGAGTCCAAGTCCCCTCGTCCTCCTCCGAGGAGTCTTCCTCCTCGCTCCCCAGGGCGGGTGCCTTTCTCAGCTGTGCTTTGGGTTTGCTGGACTGAGTCCACGATCCAGAGCCTTCACACCCCCTCCTTTTACAAGACAGGAACTTGCTCAGTCCCTGAGGCTGGGCTCCAATTTGCCATCCTTCTGCCCCATTCTCCCAGGGGACTGGGATTACAGGCACGAGCCACCATGCCTGGTTACCCCTAATGCTTTCTAAATTTTCTTTTGAGACAAGGCCTCACTAAGTCTCCCAGTTAAGGCTCAAACTTTGGATTCTTCTGCCTCAGCCTCCTGAGTAGCTAGGATTGCAGGTATGTGCTAACACTGGCTGCATGTTTTGTTTACTGTTATTCACACAGTGAAGGGCATCGGACCCTTAGAGGAGCTCAATAGTTGCTATACTCTGAATTTGCCTGAAATAGCCATGTGGTAAAGGCTTGTTTCTGGGTGCTTCTGTTTAAGAGTTAGGGCCTTGTGGGTCGCCGTAGGTCATTAGCAGGTGCCCTTGAAGGGTGTTTTAGAGCCTTGGTCTCCTTTCTCCCTTTGGCTTTCCAGTGGTCATGGAATGAGTGGTTCTGTGTCACACGTGCTCCCACTACGATGTGCAGAAGCAACGGGCCCAATCTACTTTGGTCTGAAGCTATGAGCCAAAATAAAGCTTTCCTATTGATAAAGCTGATTTCCTTAGGTATTTGTTACAGTAATGGAATGCTGACTGGCATTCAGGAGCCAGTGAGTAAGTGGAGGCATGGTAGGTGGGTGGGCAAGTGAGCAAATGGACAGATGGGTGGATGGATGATTCCCATATGCATGCCTAAGGCCGGGGGCGCCTCTGACCTGTAGCCGTTTCTGGTCTACACCTGCCGTAGTTCCAAGGCACTGCCGCGTTATTGGCTCTGTGTGCCGTTTCCTCACTCATCACTCACACAGATTAGTGGCTAATGGGAAAAATGAAGGACTAAGCCACCAATAGGCCCCTGGGGAGTGTGGGGCGCTGGGGGAAGATTTTTTCCCGAGGAGCAGTCTCCTTTCCCACCGATCCCCAAAGCTGGGTGGGAATCTTGGTTCTGTTGCCACTCTGATCCAGCTGCTGTTATACGAAATTGCCAAGAGAGGTCGCTAAGCCCCCACTCTCTGGGAAACGGCAGCCAGCTGCAGCCTCAGGGAGGAAGAAGGGGAGGGGAACCGAACGAAGGAGGGTGTCGCCCTTTCCCACAGCGGCCAGGGCCCGGGGGGGGGGGGGGGGGGGGGCAGTGTGTGGTCTCAGGAGGGCTGGAGACACAGGTGCTTACGCGGCCGGGGGACTCCAGCCCCTGCGGCTCCTAGCGTCTCCTGGACTCTGTTCTGCAGATAGGATCCTGGGTGGCTGTGTGCTTGGCAGGTTTCCCACAGCTGGAAAACACTCAGGACCGAATTAGAACCCAGAGACAACAAACACGGTTACTTCCTGCCCCTGGTCCTTTTGGTGTCTCTGCCCCAAAAACAAAACTCCCAAGTTCAGTGTCTGGTTTGGCCTGATTTAGAAAGCTGCTGGGTTCCGCAGTGGGTAAGGTGGAGGTGGAGAGGGGAAGAGAATCCTTCCTGCCGGTGTGACCCGGCCACCCTCTGCTCCCTCCGCGGCCTGGGCTGTATGTACATCCTTTGCTTCCCGAGGTTGGGAAGCTTTTAAGTGGTAGCCCGGTGCACGAAGGTGAAGGCTGCTTGTGGTGGCCTGACCCATCCCAGAGAAAGACAGCAATGAACACGAGGCCCAGAGAGACAGAGGGGTCCACCCAGGAGGACCCTGGCCTGTCTGTCCTTGTGGCAGGCACCACAAAGAAGTCTGGAAGGACAGAGCTCACTGTGCAATCATAGACCTACACTTCCTCATAATTGGCCTCCCAACAGTGCACTGGGGAAAGTGTCCGGGCCCCCATTGGACAGATGACCAAACTGAGGCCCATCAAGGTTCCTCCCCAGGCCCAAGTTCTTGCTACTTGATGTGGGTTGATTGCAGGCCGGGCTGAAGCCAGATCCAGCATGTGCCCTCTCCAGGGTCCTGGGTCACCCAGGCCCCCTCCCCAGAATCCCATGAGGTCCGGCTGGTCCCTGGGGAACTCCAGGAGGAGAAGGAGGAAGGGGATGGCTGTCTGCCTCTAAGCCCTTGGCCCGCCAGGCCTCGAGCTCCCAGCTGTTACCATGGCTCACGAGGCTCCCCACCACTCAGACTCCGGAGAGAGACTGACTCCGGCCCTTGCATGCTCCTGTTCTCAGCCTGCCGGGCCGTGCACACAGTGGGTCCCAAGCAGCTGCTTTGTGTTTGCTCATTGTTTATGTGAGAAAACAGCTCCAAAAAACAGCTCCATTTCCAGGAGATTTTTAAAAATTCCATTTGGAAATGGCAACGACATCTGTGTCCTGTTGGATAACAGAAGAGTGGATTAGCATCATTCATTTAGCAAATATTTTTATTGAGCAATTGCCATGTGCTAGACCCCATTCTAGCAATCAGAAGGAGACAGAACAGATGTGGGCCTCTCGCCACGTACCTTATAAAGCAGGTGACCAGAAATGAACAGACTGTGTAGAGATGTAAAATAATGGGCTGCTAAGTTGGGTGTGCTGCTGAGAGCAAAAAAAGATGCTATTTAGAGTGGTAGTTAGAGACCTGAAGGGGATGAAGTGGCAGGGGGGTCTGCAAGTGCAAAGGCCCTGGGGTAGGAGTGGATGCTTGCACAATGGATCCTGTATAGTTTTGCAAACCTTGGTGAGGATTTTGGCTTTTATTCTGAGCATTGTGAAAAGGTGGTTTCTGTCTCCCAGAGCTGTACTGTGAGTTACTAACTACCATGTGGAGTAGGCCAGGGGACTGCTCACTAAGATCCTGTGTCCTTGAAGGGCTATAGCCAGGCTTCAGGGGGCTTCTCACCCCACCGTAAATTTTATCTGCAGGTACATTTGGTGCTAGAGGAATAAAGACTGTGGGTTCCATCAGAGCAAAGGAAACAGGGCTGTGACAGACAGCACAAGTCCAGCCCGAGGTCCCTGTGCTCACTGTTCTTGTTCTGTCTCTGCTGCCCGCCTTGACACCCCACCCTCTAGCCAGTGCCTGTTTTCAGGGTGCTCCGTCTCATTCCTCCGCTGAGGTTTATTTCAGTGGCATCATCTCCTCACCTCTCTGGTGAGAATACTGGGGTGCTCTCCTGCCGGGGCCTCTGCTCGTCCTCCTCCTGTGGCCCTTGCTGTTGGTCCCCCCACCCCGGCCTTCCTGCTCTGGCTATCAAAGGGACTCTGTTCCAGCTCTCTCCCCGCTGCCCTTTCTCTCCTAGTTGGGGTTTTGAGTCCTGTGGGACACAAAGAAGAGGGTTTTGTTTCTTTTTCCACTGACGCTGTCCACTCTCGTCACCCACACTTCAAAGCCAGCAGGGCCCCTTCAGGAGCTGGGGTGCTGGGATGGAGGCCAAGTGATCTCAGCCTCAGGCTGGGGTGGGGAAGAGGGAGCAGCAGGGGGTGACTGGGCCCCTGGGGCCCTGGGGACACACAGGAGCTCTCTGGTTTTGTGAGCCCTGAGCGCTCTGCTTATGGCTGGGGCTGTGTGCCAGGGTCCTCCCGGACAGTGCTGTCCCCGTGTGGGGCATGCTGTCCCCAGCTGACGTTTGATACTGCGTTCTCCAAGGCCTGAGTTTAAGTCCCGGATCATCACTGAGTAACCGCACAGCTATGGGTTCCTTACCAAACATCTCCAGTGTGAGTTTGGCATCTATAAAAAGGAGTCAGGGTGGGGTTAAAGACTACGTAAAATAATGAACACAAATTTACACCTGCCCCTCCAAATTCTGCCACCCCCCAAACCATCCCTCCACCTGATCCCTTAAACTCTGGTGTGTTCCATAATTGTCCATTGAATCCACTCAACTGTGTGCCCTGCAGTCTCCTGAGTCTAAAGCCATCACAAGGAACATTCTAGAAGGTGTTCCTATAGCCTGATCTCACTCACCATGGAGAAGCCTCCCCACCACACCCTTCTCCCTCCCTCTGGAGCCTTGACTGATGAGAACTTGAGAGTT